ATTTCACTAAAATTGAAACATATGTTAATAATTCACTGGCTATGAAAAGGACCATACTTTCAACCTAAATAATATTACATCTGATAATCTGAGCGCTTGATAAGAAGCGAACATTCTTATTAAGGTATTGATATTAATTTATCCTTCTAAATTATTTCTTCACTAGTTTATACACATAATTCTTAGGGTAATAAAATAAAGAATTATTTAAGATGTTTAACTAAGTTTGCTTTACTTACTGACATCTATTTTGTGTCGAATAAGGCAGGTATTCTTTTCACAAATTTTGTTTAAGAAGTACTTTAAATATTCAATAATTTGAATTATTTTCTAAAGAGAAAAACCCCTTCATATTCATTTTTAACAACGAGTCTTTAAATTGACCTTATCAGTTATTTAAACAGCAAAATTAATATACATGTAATAAGGAATTATTTACTTGCTGATATCTTAATGAAAGTAAGGTAAATTTAGTGTTGCCATCATTGGCCTGCAATATTGTGTATGTATATTCAAACGTATATGCTTCTTTTTATGTAAGTATAATGTCCTTTATGTATAATATCAGTTTAATTAAAATAATCAAAATTTGAAACATTTATGACCGCACATCACGGCTAAATTGGAAATGATGCAGGTTTCGTTTGATTTAAATGTTATTATTACAGAAGTATAATGAGTATAATTTAAGAACACATATAGTACATACATTTCAAGGACAGTTCATAACGACATCAGATCAAATGATATACAGCGAATGTCGCCATTAGACACCTCAGGGAGGCGACGATTCTATCTCTGAAATAACAATGTCAGTACTGTAATTTGCTTTCTATGGCATTTGTAATTCAATCAATTATACTATGCTATGTGTCTGAATAGAGATGTTTAAAACGAAATGAAAAAAAATCTTCTTCAAAATGTTCTTTTCTTATTTCCAAATAGTTTATGATTAATTTTTTTTTTCAATTATCACTTCTATAGCAATTTATTTTCACTTATAGTCCACTTACTTTGATCATGAACTTTTCCCTTCTTTAACAAAATACGATTTACGAACATATTTTAATAATAGATATATAGAATGTATCATAAAAGCTTTAACTGCAGCTTGATGATAAAGAAAGAGTCCAGTTCATTTTATGATATTTTTTTTCTTTGTCATATACATAGCTGTTCAATGTAATGAGAATTTTTTCCGTTCTTTTTTTTTTTTTGGGGGGGGGGGTGGGGGGTTGGGGGAGAAGATGCAGCTTTTTGCGACTGTAGACTTGTATGTCAATTAATTAGGAAGCGTAAAATGATCAGAAAAATGATGTAGATAAGAATTATCTTCATCAGTTGAGGGTTATACAACCTCTGACAGAAGATATTTGTTAAGATAACAGTTTGTTTATGATCTAATGATTATCCTTACCCCTATAAAATACGTCACAAGTTGAATTTATCAAAGTAAACAAAGAAACAATTGTGTTCATTCTATTTCAATTGTGTAACCTATATAGTTAACAAATATTTGTATCGTATATGATTAAAATGAAGGATAACATATTAACTGGTTGATTATATATGGATACAAACGTTCATTATAGCAGTTCTTTTATCCACGGTTCCTAGAAATATTTGGAAAAATTGTAGTTAATTCCTTAATATAAAATTTTTTCCCCCCCTGAAAAAAAGTACTGCTTTTATTTTGAAACAGATGTTTCTGATCATAATCACCTTCAAAAAGGTTTTTTTTTTCTATATTTTTTTAGGGTTTTTTGGGGGTTTTTATATAGTTCCTTTACTTTAGTTCGATAGTAAATTCAGAAATGTTTAATATTTATATGTAAATGGTTTATTATCACATTTGTTCAAACATTACATCGCATGTCCCGAGCGAGACATATCAAATAAATTATATATAGGTACATAAAACAATATCTCTTATAGTTCCTTAACTTCATGAGATAATTCCTTTAATTCATTAAATAAAAGTGACTTTACTCAATAAGATAACATATTTACATGCATGTAAAATAAATTAATAAAAGAGGGCTTGTTATCATTTTCTATTCGTACCAACTTAAACAAACTACGAATAGCATTCTTGGAAAAATCTTATTAACCTCTGGCATACAACTTCACATCTGCCAAAACATGACATTTATCAGCTGTGGAACTCCATTACTGCGTTAGAGGTAGCATTCGTAGACATTCATTTTGTATGCTCAACAATCTTATATTCCTGTTTATTTGATAATGTTGCACACCAGAAGAAAGAAAGTTCGACAGTAAGCGGGGAGGTTTTATTTCCTGTTTTTTTTTTGTTTTTTTTCCTTCTGTTTTTGTGTGCAAAAATCAGTATATTACTTCTTGGTGCATCTGTATTAAGACATTGTAACAGTACGATTCCATATAGACTGTCTTTTAATTTATTTAACGAAAACAAAAACTAATGTAGCATTGGCAAAATAATAGTATATGGTAATGGAAAATGGCCCTGAAACAGTTTTACTCCGTGACTATTTATTTGACCAAACGAGAATTTTTATGAAATACATACACATATCTATAGACATACTAATAGTAATAGACGGAGCTCAAGCTGTTTCTAGAGCAAAGATAACCATTTACATAAATCATTTATTTGGAGTAAGTTTTCCAATTACTTATATACACTTACGTTAATTCAGTTCAAACAACAGAATATGAAAGCGTTATCTGGTTTCGGAGTAAGATCACCGAGAAATGTGAAAATTCCTGTCTGAATCATCTATATAGTACTAGTAGCTTCCTTTAGATAAATATCAAATCAAGAAAAATGAGGGGGAAATTCGTGTAATTTTGAAGAAAACACGTCTTTTTCAGTTTATCTCAGATATTTTTTTAAACAAGCACAAATTGACGCTTTTATAACTGATTTGCAAGTTGCATTTTATACTACATTTTGGCCTGGAAGGTTGTTCCGGAAAACGAAGAATTTCGGAAAAGGTATTGAAGAAATATACCTCTTATAGCCCTAGTATCCAAATAGTGCTGCCATACAAGGTTAATACATGTATCACTTTATCTAGAAATCCCAATGGTGCTCCCTTACACGGTTTTTTAAATATAAGTTTAACTAGAAATCCCAATGGTGCTACCGTACACGGTTAATGTTAGTTTTGCTAGAAATCCAAATGGTCTTCCCGTACAAGGTTAATATAAGTTTTACTAGAAATCCCAATGATGTTGCCGTACAAGGTTAATATTAGTTTTACTAGAAATCCCAATGATGTTGCCGTACACGGTTAATATTAGTTTTACTAGAAATCCCAATGATGTTCCCGTACAAGTATAAGATTAGTTTTACTAGAAATCGCAATGATGTTGCCGTACACGGTTAATTTTAGTTTTACTAGAAAGTCCAATGATGATGCCGTACACGGTTAATATTAATTTTACTAGAAATTCAAATGATGTTGCCGTACACGGTTAATTTTAGTTTTACTAGAAAGTCCCAAAGGTGCTGCTGTACACGGTTAATATTAGTTTAACAAGGAAACCCAATGGTGCTGTAATTAGTTTAACCAATAACTCCAATGGTGATGTCGAATACGGTAAATATAGTTTTACCAATAATTTCAATGGTGCTGATTAAGACAGTAAACCGCAATATTATACAATAGTTTTGATGCATAAGACACTCAAATTACAAATTAAAAAAAAAACAATTTTAAAATAATTATTTATTTAGCGTTATTTGTACTTTAAAACAATCTGTATTGATTCACTCTCCTTAATTATATCAGGTTTTCTTTATGTTATTCAAATTTATATTTTTACCACGTGATGTACATGGTTAAACTAGTTTTATATCGTTCACGTAATTAAACTAATTATAATAAGACCATCTAATGATGAAATATTCATAGCTTAATATTGCTTTAGCACATTTTTCGCGTGCTTCTGTATTCTTACTGAAATCAATCTTACAAAGTCTAACTGAAAACTAAAAAGCTGTTCTGATCAAATGATCTTTTTCGAAAACTTTAGTGACTGATTTGTGCCATTTGGGGCACCATGGCGAAAAATTGAGAAGGTGATCATTTTGTCGTATTTTCGTGTTTTGCCTTTCGCTCCGCGGGGCACCAGAGCAAAATGTCGATCCTGTATAGTGTGTAAACTTCTGACTTCAGTTCAAACACATAATAAAAATATAACATGTTAACTTTACTAGATATTAGATTTGAATGTTTCGTACTAATGTGCTTAATTATTGATCATATAACTTTTATATGATTGTGCAATATTTTTATCTGTTTTGCTTTGACATGAGTCTTACATTCTTTTGATAAGATATCATTTTTTCGACGTATTATTTATTTAAGAGCTATCATCTATTCTATTTTCTCTTCATTTAAATAACACTGTGAAGCTTATTAAAACATCTCCATATAACTTGAGAACATAATGTATATTTTAAGTAATTTGTTTAGATATATCAATTAACTGACTCCATATTAATGATACAATAACCGTGTGTAGTATTAAACTGATTTACTTATATCATCTAAGGTTTTATCTAAAAAACCTATCGTATTCATTCTATTTCGCCATTTTCTTTTTTAAAAAATTAATAAAGATACAGTGTGTTGAGTTATGAGGTACTTTAACCTTTCAGTTTGGGGCTATTTATCAACAAGTTCAATTATGCTGAGCTTCAGTTTAGAAGTAGGTCATTAAGCCTCTGATTTGAGATTTTCTCCGTGCTAATGATGTACAATGATATCTCTAAACGGCTCTAAAAGCAAGTTCTATGTGCGCTTTAATATCCTTTACTATATAATACAACATGCTTTAGGTAAGAAATGAACCATTTAATCAGTTACAAAGATTAATGTGCCGAATGAACGTAATTGATAGGATAAAACTGTTAAGATCAAAACCACACATGAAAGGCAGTTCATAATAACCATCATCTATCCTACATTCGTTAATATATTGGCTTTACAGATGATTATTTTCAATTTCAGGCTTTTTGCGAGCCATCCAGATGTACAAGATGCATTCACAACATTTAAAGGAATGAGTCCTGAAGATTTAACACATAGCAACCAATTAAGGTCACACGCTATGCGAGTTATGGGAACTGTAGACAAGTGCCTTACATGTATTCATGAGCCAGACATCATGTTTAAAACATTACATGATCTTGGTGCTCGACATGTCATGTATACAGCAAAGGTCGACTACATGGATGTAAGTACTTTTTCGACTTAAGGTCTTTCATTTGTACTCAGTTTATGGTACAATAGATATACATTTTGTTTTTATTTTGGTACAGTCTAAGCACAAATTATTATCAATAATATTTAATTTCATTACAATCGTATATCACGCTAAAAAGATTATTTTCTTATCAGCTAATATCCAGTGAAAGCATTGTGAATTTCTGAATAATAACAGTTGTGTGTTAAGATAATTAAAATTATAAAATTATAATGTTATTAAAACATTAAGTTTATTTAAATAAATATTAAAATTTGCTCATGTTGAAACAAGTCCATTGATCCCTTTAAAATTTATTAAGTATATCGTCAAGAAATAAGTTTTTGTACAGTTGAAAACAAATAAACCTAAAAATTCTTAAAACTTCTCCTTTAATGTTGTGTATTGGCTGACCAGTAGAAAAACGGAAAATATGTTTCACTGCAGTGGATAATATTTTTTTTACAGTGGAAATAAGGAAAATGAAAATACACATTTTATTTCATCAATATTTCCCAATATTTCATTTATAAGTATATACTAAATCTGTATATAGTAATGGAATCAGAGGTCTGACTATGATAAATAACACTTTATATTTTGTTTCAGCTGATAGGACCACAGTTTATATTGGCGATACAACCAGTTATTGGTGAAAAATGGAATTCAGAACTCGAACAAGCCTGGTCGGACTTATTTAAACTCATCGCACATGTTATGAAAGCCGCTATGACGTTTTATTGAGTTATCAAAATATAGTTATAGTATTTTGATTGGAATTAACTTGATATGAATGTCTGTTTTGAATGTTATAAAGGATAATGTAATAATATACGGTCATAAGAGGGTACATGTTAATTATTGAATACATGTTTATCTTTCAAAATATCGCTTACTGCTAATGAAGTGATATAGACAAATACTTTACTTACAAAACGACTACATTATGTATGCACTTCATGTATAAGTCAATTAATTATATATCTATCTTTCCCTAAAAATTTTAAAATAATTATCATTGACATTCTTATTTGCTTAACCATTATCCTTACACGTAAGTTTTGAAAAACGTTTTCTCTTGAACAATGAAATGGAATTTAGGAGCCTTGAAAAACTATATACACACGAGACATGATAATCTAGCATTCTTTTTTAACTATTTGAACCATTATAACATCACATTTCAGTCCATTAATTATGTGTTTTAATGTAAAGTACGTTTATCAGAGTCTCAATATTCTTGAACGCGAGACGTTTTATATGCTTCAGATAGAGCTGAATATTTACAAATTATACGATAATCTTTATAATATGAATTCAGATTTTTTACCAGTAGATATATTGTGTTTTGAAATCATATTATCATGTAATATCACAAATGTGAGATGATATGTAATGTTATATACCACCAATCGATATAAGCGGAATTTGATCTGCAAAAAAGAAACAATATGGAAGTCACAAATACATAGCCCTATTCTTCTTTCAAGATAAATTTCTTGAAATTAGCAACTTATTATGTTAATTTTCATATTGAAATAATCCACTGCAAATGACCTAAAAGAATTTAACATGTATGATGAATGTTTGGTATTTAACGTATAGTATGTTATTGTACCATGCAATTATGATTCTACTTTCAATTATGATATACGTGTATATATAATAAGACAACACATGCCTATATGTTATGCTTTACAATAAAGTATTTATGTTTTGTATTGTATATTCAGCTGGTACCCATGCCAAATAGCCAGGTTCAATATTTATTCAGGTGTTGTACATACAAGCTTTCACTGCATCGGAACTAACACACTTGTCTGGTTTTAGTCAGCTGTCTCAAAGTTCAACGTAAAATGATGTATAACAGATGACTGACTATTTTGATAGTTTTGTATTATTGTCTTGTTAAATGGTTAAAAATTCGATAAAAATGTTGCATACACATGAATGTTAGATTTTGTTTTTATTTTATATTGTTTTAAATAAAATTTGAACATTTTGTTACAATTATTTAGATGTCTCTGATAAATATGTTGGAGAATTAGATGTAGAGTTGAAGAGCACAATACACACGATTAAAAGTGTCAATGCCCGTTTAAACCCAAACATGCTTAATTTCTTTAAAAGACTTGTCGAGTTCTGAGAATTGCCCATTATCAATTTGGGGATATCAGGTTGACAAATTTATGTAATTCAGCCAAAATATATAACCTGGAGACTCCACGGATGTCGTCTATACTTGTGACAAAGTCTTCTTTCTCCCGGTCTTTGCAGGTTAAGTGTTGATTATGATGAATGCCATACGAGTAACGTTTTTCATTTACTGACATAGTTATTCAATGAATTTGATGATTTATTTGTTTACCTTATATCATACTATCTATTTAAACATCACAAGGCTTGCTGAAAGTGTGTTGTTTTAAGCGAAACAATTACAAGTAACAATTGTAAAACACCAATTCAACCGCAGGTAAAAGAAAAGACATATTAAATCATGTCAAATGTCGTAAAAGAGCTTTTATTAGATTTTTCTTTCAAACACTTAAATCATGATTCTTAGTGGAACACTCGTATTTTGTCATTTTATCAACCACATATATATAAAAAGAAGAGAAAAACCGATAACGACATTTCTGATAATAATGTTATAAGATAGTTTCTCCATTATACATTATATTTGCAATATTTGCTTAAGATATTTATAAATATGGCATCATATGTTTAAGGCGCAAAAAAAAAACAAACAGAAAACAAAAACAACCCCAGCAAATAAATTTAAAAAAGTTCGAATTTCATATAAGTTCATTCAATCCAATAAGGGCCTTATTATCACGTTTTTTTTTCATTTATTTTAATTTCATTTCAAAATATAAGTTAAAAGTGATAGTTAATGTTTGAATATTATAAATTAGTAGAGAAAGTTATTTTGGACGTATTTGTACGTATATTTTGCGCTTAAAACTTGACATGTTTATGTAAATACTCTACGCTGAATCATAAGGTTGATTGTGATACATAATAATTGTATTAAACAAATCTTAAATCAGTTTTCTTATTATCTTACCCCATTACCTACGACATTTAATAAATAATGCATTCATAATTTAGAAACAAGTAATTTATTAAAAAATCTAAATATAAAAAATTACCCTTAAACATTTATTAAAGAGCAGGTCAAGCTATACTATCATCAAATAATCCATTGTTTTAATTGCAGTTGTCTGTCATAGAAACTGTTACACTATAAGTAGTTATGTTAATAGTTCTAATTACAAAGTACCATACGTGATTCCAAAACAACGAAACAATTCTGTATAGATGTTGTTGTCAAATGTCCGAATTGACATATCTATTTTTCCTAGTCATGTATACCTGGTAAAATGACTCACATAGTTAATGTAATATAAGTTGACAGTTCTTGTCAATTAACTTACTATCAATGTTTGAACTGTAAGTTTTGAAAGTTTGTTTAGATGTACTCCATTTAATTCATTTTAAGTATATTGGTTCTTATTTACAATATGCAAATAAAATTATAGATCGTCCAATATGACGAACTTTAAATGTTGCATGCTATGTTTGACTATAATACATTATGATATAATTCTACCAAAGTAAAAATATTCTATGTATCACATTTCTTTTTCAGTAAAACATCAGATTAAATGATATTTGTAAAGTAACTACGGTCACATACACACTCGGAAATAACAAAGTCGGCACAATGATTGGCTTTTCAAAAGCATTTTTAATTTAATCAATTATATTATTTTTACAATATTCAGCGTTAAGGTGGTCCAACACAAATAAAACACTCTTCAGTGTTCCTAACGGGAAGGAAATAATTTTGAAAAATCACTTCAAGAGTCCAATGACGTATTTCAATAAATAACAATACAGCAATTTGCTTCGCTAATTACTGTCCGTGAAAGTTTTTCACAAAATGTGAATAAAAAAGGATGTTTTTTTAATATTATTTTAAAGAAAGGTATAATTGTAGATCAGCTTGATGTTCAGTTTATAGTTTAATTCATTGTATATTTATAGACTTTCATCTGAGCGTCATACTTGTCGCTGTGTGAGTTATGCCAGTGGTCACATGAGCTATTTCTATCGTTCTGGTTTTAATCATTTTGGAAAGAAAGTTGGCATGCAATTATGGACTTGTATATTATTTGATTAGGGCGCAGTAAAGAAAAAGAATATTATGTACGAGTAAACTTGCATGTCATTTACAACAAGCAATTATCATAGTATTGCAAGCAATCCATAAGTCCCCTACCGGTTAGAACCCCATCAACATTCTGAAGGGCCATTGGCCATTCACTTATGTTTCATTTTTTCTCTATTTTAAGTAAACTTGTTGGAAAAGTTCTTTAAAAGTGATCACAGGAAACAGTTTTTATGAACAGACAGACAGACGGACTGAAGGACACTCTAAAGTTAATATTTGAAACATCCCTGTTACCAAAATATAACATTTTAAAAGCAAAATTCTTAAAGCGGAGATAACTCTTGAATTAAAGATGCAATTTCATAAAAATTTTCAGCTCTTTTTGACTTATCACAAATATTGTTATATTTGCCATGTTTTAAGCCTATTTGTTGCCAAGGCAACTGATATTTTTTCAAAATAGGAAGAACAGATAAGACATGCATAATCTCAAGACTGCTATCTACCCATATGTCAAGTTTCATAAAAATATTTCTAGTGCTTTTTGAGTTATCACTGGATTCAGTTTATGTGTAAAATTTGCCATATTTTCAGTATATGTGTTGCCAAAGCAACCAGAATTTTCAACATAGGAAGAAAAGAAAAAGACATGCATAATCTCAAGACTGCCATCTACCCATATGTCAAGTTTCATAAAAATATTTCCAGTACTTTTTGCGTTATCACTGGATCCAGTTTATGTGTAAAATTTGCCATATTTTTAGCCTATTTGTTGCCATAGCAACCAGAATTTTCAACATAGGAAGAAAAAAAAGGGGTGCATAATCTCCATACTGCCATCTATACATATACCAAGTTTCATAAAAATATTTTCAGTACTTTTCAAGTTATCGCGGGATCCAGTTTTGTGGACGGACGGACTGACGGACTGACAGACAGACGGACGGACAGACGGACGGAGGGTAAACCTAAAGTCCCCTCCGGTAAACCGGTAGGGGACTAAAAAAAAACATCGGAGGAGAAATGGAATTTCGTCAATAAGAAGTTTCTTAATCTAGCAACGTTTCCAATAACTTGTTACTTATTATGTTCAGTTGTTGACAGAGTAAAGTAATTACTATTACATTATTTAGAAACGTTTAAATATCTGCGTAAATTATCTATATGATAAAGATCATTCAATTCATGAATGAAAAGAATACCATTATCACAATTCCAAAGAACATTTTCTTTAAAAAGCACACGTTAACCTAAAAATTGTTTTGACAAACTTGGAATGTCAAATAATTAGATTCATACTTATTATTTCACGTTGTAAAAGTATGGATACTTTATAACACTGAACATATGTAAATAATTCACTGGTTTTTAATAGAAAAGAATCATTCTTCCAACCTAAAAAATACTACATCTGATGATCTAAACGCTTGATTAGAACCAAATATTCTGATAAGGGATTGATATTGATTAAGCTATCTAAATTATTTCTTCACTAATTTATACACATAATTCTAAGCCTTATAAAATAAAATATTATCTAAGATTGTTTTACTTTTTGCCATTTATCTATATGTCGAATACAGCAGGTATTTTTCACAAATGTTGTATAAGGAAAATTCGAATAGTTTGCTAATTAAAAGAGAAAAACCCATTTAACAACGAGTCTTTAAATTGACCTTATCATTTATATGAATAACAACATTTTTATATAAGAAATTATTTACTACCTGATATCTTAATGAAAGTAAGGTTAATTAGTGTTGCCATCCATGGCCTTAAATGAGGTCTACGTATATTGAAACGTTTATGTTTTTTATGTAATGTCATTTCCATATTATATCAATTTAATTAAACAAATCAGGAGTTGAAACATTTATGACCGCTCATCACGGCTTAATTGAAAAATATGATTTTAATGTTATTATAATATAAGTATCATAAGTAAAATATACGAACACATATAGTACATGCATTTCAAGTACAGTACATACCTCAGATCAAATGATATACAGCGTATGCAGCCATTAGACACCTCAGGGAGGCGACGATTCTATCTGTGAAATAACAAAGTCAGTACTATAATTTACTTTCTATCTTTCTATGGCATTTGTAATATAATCATGTGTCTGAATAGAGATGTTTAGTATGAAATGAAAAAAATCTTCTTCAAAATATTATTTTTCTTATTTCTAAATGTCATAGTTTATGATGGGATGTTTTTGTTATTTTGAATAATCACGTCAATAGCATCAATTTGTTTTAACTTATAGTTCACTTACTTTGATCATGAATGTTTCCTTTCCCTTCTTTAACAAAATACAATTAACGAACATAATAATTATTTTAATAGATATATAGAATGTGTCATAAAAGTTTGATGATAAAAAAAAGAGTTCAGTTCATTTTATTATATCATTTTTCTATGTACATCACATACATAGCTGTTCAATGCAATGGGTCACATGAGAATTTTTTTCGTTCTTGTTTTTTTTTTACTGGGAGAAGATACAGCTTTTTGCGATTGCTGACTTGTATGTCAATTAATTAGGAAGCGTAAATTGATAAGAAAAATGATGTAGATAAGAATTATCTTCATCAGTTGAGGGTTATACAACTTCTGACAGAAGATATTTGTTAAGATAACAGTGTGTTGTATTATCTCATGTTTATCCTCACCCATATAAAAATAAAAATACGTCACAAGACAAGAACTTATCAAACAACCAAAGGATAATTTTTTTATGAATATTTGTGTTTAGTCTTTTTTCTATTTTATAACCTATATTGTTCAAAAGGCAAAATGTAAAGATGTTGTCGGTGAACATATCATAAGGAA